ATTAAATTTCTCTTTGATGATCGTTCTTGTACCACGCCGTATGTGTTGCTCTGACCGGTCTGTTCGCTTTCTTTTCCATTCGGATTTGCTGCCGCACAGCCATGTTTACTCAACGATCCCTGGGAAATTCAAGGGTTGTGCTTATGGCTATAAATAATTCCCACCTCCACTGAACACATTTGTGCTTTCTTTTCCTTGCATAGTCCTGTAACATTTCCATTGTGTTGTCATTCTATTTAGCTTAATTGCAGTTGAGTTGTTTGCCTCGCTTATTATGTGTTTGTGAGTTCAACGGCTTGAGGTTGTTTGACTAATGGTTTCTGTTATTAACGTAATAACATTAGAACATTAAAGAGGTAGTTAATTGGTTGCTCTACATTTTTGCCTGAACGGGGTGTCTCTCATTTGAATCAAATTAACAAACTCTTTGAGTTATATGGACTAAGGAGAACATTTTTTGCCCTTGTGAAGAAATTGTATTTTCAAAGCTCAAATTTAATAAACAGTTTGTATTTTCCAAGCATGGATGGCTATGATTCCCAGCCAACTGCTTCCACTAACAGTGGAGCTGGTCTCATTCTCTGAACTGGAACATGTCTTAGGGGTATAAAAACTAAACCAATAACACGTTTTATCGGCTCCAGGCCAATATCCAATACCAGTTAACCCGGCTCCAATTTTAGTTCGGATAAAATATGAAAGGCTAAATCACAATGTTGATATACCTGAACTGGACCTCAAACTAATTTGCATAGTTATGGTTCTAATACCCCTCTTAATGTTACTCTCGAAGACTCGAACAAGTCTCTCTAAGAACCTGACCATCGAGCTCATGCCTACCTGCCGTTGAGTGCTGATCAGTATCCACACAACATATCACCACTACAAACTGTTTTACTTTACTCAAATGAGTACATATTGAGATATATTTTCTGTTCCATAGGAAAATAGATTTCACATTGTTGTTGGAAAGTTTATTAAAGACCTGTTTGACCCCACAAGAATACACAACTATGCTTTTAAAATTTATGGTTCTGCATTTTTTCACTTATCATTTCTTCATTTTAATCTCTCCCGTTCGTGGTTCACAATTACTTCCTCCAAACACTTTACTTTTTCCATTGTTTAATTATTAGAATGGCATCCAACCTGCTTTTGATCCCTCAAGTGAAGTCCGATGTTAGTCCATGGAGTTGCAAAGTTTGTGTTGTCGAAAAACATAACACAAGGGAGTCAAAAAGTAGTCCTGACAAGTTATACAAGCCTATAATATTACAAGATGAAAATGTAAGTATTTCTCATCATCTTTATTCTTAAAAAAACTTGTTCATTCCTACTAAAAACTCATTTGTGAATTTTTATCTCTAAAGTAAATTGTGTGCATTTGAGAAACTGTGTATGGATTTCATTTTCTAAGTGCATAAATTAATTTATTGCAGGTATCAAGGGCTGTTCTCTTTGCTTTATACATCTTTAAATTCAAAGACTAAAGTTTCATAAATAGCAGTATTAACTTAGGGGCCCGTTGAGGCATTAGGTGATTTTGGGTTCTCTATTTTGTTCATTTTTAGTAGTAACCAGGTAACCACATATTGTAGGATCATAGGCTATGGAGAAGTAGTATAAAGGTGACTGTGGGTGATCTATCTATTTTGTTCATTTTAAATAGTAACCACGTATCAATAGGCTGAGAAATGGTTTTCGGAAATTTGCAGTGTAATGATTTGAGTAGTTAAATAAATGAAATCACAGACTTCGGCCTTAACTAAACAACTCAAGTCTCAAACCACATTTGTAAACTGCCAACCTTATTAATGGTTGGTTTCCACTGTACGATTATAGTGTAGCAACTCTATTAAATAATAAATATTTAAATACTTTCTATTTTAATTAATCTTTAAACACGTTTAAAAGGAAAATAAGATCAAACTCCAATTCATGCGTTGGGCATAGGATCACGCGCATTGCGCGTGTAAACAGCTAGTAGGTAGAAATAATCATCTCCCTAAGTAGGGATCGAGTCCAAGACCTCTCATTAAAGAGAGACTTGGAACTGGATGTTCATCCAAGTGAGTCACACCAATCTTCTAGATAATTACTCCCTCATTCCCATTTTGTAAGATATGTTTCATATTTACTTAATCAACACAAATAACTTTTAATCTCTTACTTTTTATATCAATTTTATCAAATTTGATTCATGTTTTTGCGTCTTTCTAAAGCTTTTAATGTAGTTTCTGAATATATAATATATTTTTTCTAAAATTAATTTAAGTGCAGGCAGGGATCTGTTTGCTCTATTGTCCGTCAAACATCGTAAACCATAAATTGCCTTACAATTCAGGATGGAGGGAGTATAATAATAGAATATATAAAATGAAATGATCGAATTGAAGATATTTATTCTGTATCGCATTCTGGTTTTATTACTTTACTTTATCTAAATTCAATAATACTTGGTGCACACAAAGAGTTACATCTTTTGTACACACTTATTGGACACTTACCATTGATGTGCTATCATATGGACCTGCTTTTGAGCACGTACAAGAATTGTTTGTGCATTCAAACAACTCTTGGTTGTGTCCACATGCATTAGTTTCTTGGTTGTGTCAAACATGTCACAAGTCAATGTTGACATGTGAAATTGTGAATCAATATTTGTGTGTGCAGTGCTTGTGTGCACATGTCATAATGTTCTATGCACATCAACACGTATATAATAGTGTTCTATGACTAAGATGTTGATTTTCAAATAGATTTTACCACACAACGAGACATTGCGGAGTGTTGACTACTCCAGTTTTCAATGGCGAACTCAAAAGGTTTTTTGTTTACCACTATGATGTTGAGCCTCTCTCGTGTGAATTGTCTACCCTATTGGCAGTGCCGATCCTACCAAAACTCGGGCCTGAGTCGAAATTAATAAAAGGCCCTATACATTATTTATTTTTTTACTATAGTTTTCTTTGAAATTGAAGATTAAACATCATACAAATAACTAATTAAATAAAAATTACATTACTGTCAAAGTATTCAAATGACTAATTAAGTACAACTCGCCAGAGAGTTTTAGCTGCAAAAGTATTAATTAACTCGACATTCTAGATGTTTAATAAATTCCTTCTAAACAGATATTTGGTAGGCTATAAATCCTTTTATGCCTTTAAATAGAAAAATATTAGAAATTTAGAAGCTAAGCAAAGAAGATGAAAGATGAACCTTGATGTTGATTGATTAAGTCTATAGATTGGAACAAGGGAATCGCAAATTAACCTTAGCTAAGGCCCTGTTGTCGATCGATTAGTCTAGGCCAGAACAAAAGAATCGCAAATCGCCTTAAAACCCTTTTCCATTTGTACGTTGATGGCTATTCCACTTCTAAACTGGTCGAACAAAAGTAATTGAGGGACTTTTGGGTTTTCCTTTTTGAAGTACAACAGTGGAGTCAGCGGACAAAGGTTAGGCAATGTTGGGAAATAGTTTTAATTCAAATAATTGTGGGAAACTAAAGAGTTGCTAGATACATGTAAATAGTTCCCAGAAAGTTCTATCTTTAATGTTCCAATTAAATTATGTTTCAATGCCTATTATATATAAAGGCATCCTCCTGTAATTCAAAAGCAGAGTTCCTGGGGATAGAATATGATTTCCTTCTCATATATCAGGCAAAAAGGAAGCCCAATATTTCCAGCTTCTTTCTAACTGGTGCTCTAACAGGCAAAAAGGAAGCCCAATATGTAAATTTAATACATATATATACTAAAGAAATATCTAAAATTGTGGGCCCTAAAATTTTAACAATTTTTTGGACCCTGAGGCAAGTGCCTCATCCGCCTCAAGCACCGCACGGCTCTGCCTATTGGAGCAGAGACACAAGGACGAACGTCGTCATCAGTTTTTCATGGGATTGGATGAAACCTTTTAAGGATCTATATGCTCTCATCCTCTCCCGTGAAAAATTTACATTCAACATATTTGTGTATTTAACTAGTAATAGGAGCTTATAATTTTAACATTCTATAATATACTATCGTATTACTTTAAGGTAAAAACATGTACCGACAATATTCCGTTACATAACTTAGTTTTGTGCATATAAAGTATTCTTGTTTATAAACTACTCCCTCCGTTCCTAAAAATTCTTCCCGGTTTGAATTGGCACGCCTATTAAGAAAGTGGAAATGTGTGGTTGTGGTTGTGTGAGAAAAAGGTAAAATGAATGTGAGCCACACAAATTGTTCAAAAAGGGAAAGTGGAAAGAATTTTTGGGAACGGCCCAAAAAGGAAAGTGGGAAGTATTTTTGGGAACGGAGGGAGTAATAGATAGAGCCCCACTCTCTATCTATCAGATTATGATTATAGTCCAATTTACATCCTCCCATCGTGTCGTCCAGTCGGTGTTGGGGGGCCCTCAGGGATGGGGTGTCATCCTTTTTTTACAAATATGCGTAGCATTGTCAAATAAGTCCATAGATATTTTTATTTTTATAATTACAATTATTTCAAAACCACAATATCCATGTCATATCTTTTAATGGAGTTGTCAGTTGTGTTTTGTCGTGTCAGATTTCTATTGTACCAACATTTCTGTCATTTTGTGTATACGTTTGTGCAACATAAATTGGAATGAAGTTTTTCACTCCAGTTTTGTAGTTTTGTTTCACTCGATCACATCCTTAAGTTACAAGTATATCAATCCTAAAAGATGAAATGTATCGCTATAAGAATTGAATGATGAAAAACTATCAATCTAGGACCTAACATGTCATAGGGTTTGATTTATTTAATTTTTATTAATTCAATTGCTAATATTTGGTGAATCTTTCTTCACAAAAGTTTATTAGTTTAATAAAACTAAATATTATGCAAAAAAATTAAAAAAAAAAAAGTAATAAAATTTATGAAAACTCCCATTGATAATTTCCATCATGCGGATCGTATACTGATACATTTCATCATTCAAGTCCAAGATTGATAATTCATCTATCTTTCAGATCCTAGATCGATAAAATTCCAACTAACCATACAACACTTAAATAATACGGAGTAAGTGACAAACAAAGGCTCACCCCTACAGCCCTACTGCCCTACATAGAGGATGTAATTTATCCTACTGAATAAGTTGAAAGTTACAATACCGATTGTTTTGCACCCACCCACAATGATGTTTGCCTTGCCAGGGTTGGATGGCGTAAGAAAATCAAAATCCCCTACATGTCATGCCCCTGTATTGATACAATAAGGATGATGATCTATAAGCACGACATCAATCATGATAGATCGATCATACATGGGAAAATAAATGCGAGTCATCCTGTACAGGTCTAAAGTCCCTTGGTAAAATTGATCTAAACTCATGAACAATGCTCGACACAGTCGGTGCTGTGTATGGATAACGTTTAGCAACACAATACTTAGATATACACCACCGTCGCTCATGGGGGTGATTAGATAAATCATAGAACAACCAAGCACGCAATCCAAACTTAGAAACAGAAGCATCATAGAAGTTGGCTCAGACAGGGCAACATTTCCTCTGCCACTCCAAATATGTCTTGATATGAGCAACCTTAGGAAAGATCTCCTCCTCATTCCAATCAATGGCTTTTCCAAAGGGATTGCCTCCAAACACACTCAGGAACTTATCATCAAAGCGGGCAGCATGACGAGTGTCAAGGCGCTTAAGCTCTTTTTGGCCATCCAGTATTATAGTGAGAGCTCTAGAAGACAACGCACATGATTGAATATCTAGATGCTCCAGTAGAGGGAGCTTGTTGGAAATCATATCTGCTCTGTTGTCTCTTATCCATCCATATAGTTGAAGTTTTCTGATCTCTTTGCAATGGACAATCTTTCTCACGAAAATAACATGAAAGTGTGCTTCTGTCAGCTTTGGCCAATAACGAAACATACCTGTCATCAATTCCAATAAACCAACAGGAAAATGTCTGTGGACAACTACACATTCCAATTCAGGCAGTCTGGAGAGAAAAAAATGAAGACGTTAGCAAAAAAAACCACTGCATGTCACCACATAGGTAGTGCAGATGACCTCTACTATTGATAGCAAGTCTTTTCCAATATAGATTGTGAAGCAACTATAATGAAGGGTAAGTTCAAGTTCCTAATGTTGATATTGTTGTTTAAATGTACTAGCATGGATGAAATTGAGGTCAAACCAGAGCACAGTTCTATAGGGTCTGTTTATTTTACTGTCTGTTTCAGAAGCATATGTTTCTGGGAAAATAATTTCCAGAAAAAAAAGTCATTTTCTGGAAACCGATTCCATCTTCTAGTGTTTTGCTGAAAGCAAGACCTGTCTTCATCTGTTTGGTTTAATTTCCAGGAGTGATCAGAAAGTATTACAAAGTTATTTCCTTCTAGTCATGTGCAACCGACATCAAAACCAATGAATACGCATAAAAAATACTGTAGCCTTCATTGTTAAAGCCCATGTGGTGATGTAGGACTCCTGCAAACTAACACCTAGAAAATACCACTCATGATCCTTTGCAATAGATTATACTCAAAATCTGGTTTAGAATACAAAGACATTAACCAAAACCAGAAATACCAATCTCAGGCTGGGATCAACTAACAAACTGGGTAATTTAGTCCTTGATTCCGTGGTGATGCTGAAAAAATGGGAAAAGATTGAATTGCAACTTTACACAGTCCAGTGTAGCACTTTAAAACTTAAAACTAACATTTCTCAGGTTGAAATTTCAGAAAAGACAAATGGCGACTTGGACATAATACACAGAAGCAGCTACGACTTATGAAAAAGCATTTAAAAAGGCTGGTGCAGGAAAAGGGCAGCTCTGAAAGGAGAGAACAAGGTCAAAGTATGTCGAACAGAAACAAAGTTGAATATAGACCATAAAACATTAAATAATAACTAGAAAGTTGTAAGATTGTATTGCATATGTGACTACTAGAGACTCTAGAGTTTATCCCAATCTAAGGCCTCACTAAAGCATTATGATCAATATGAATGGCCTTCCAGATGAGGTACCTTTTAGCTATCCCCTCATAGAGCTCTCGCCTGAAGGGGCGTTGAGGGGGAAAACTTTGGTGTATTTGCGTTGTTTGACCGCCATCCAGAGGTAGTTCTCATACACTATTTGCGTTGTTTGAGCACCATCTTATCAAAAATGGGCAGGTCAAGCACATCTCCCGGTGGGAAAACAGAGTCTAACAGAGCAGATAGCCATGACTTGCACATATGCTTTATGATGTAAGTCTTCTGAAAATAACCTATGCACTTCATTATGTCAACCAGATTACCAGAATATCATGTGGCATCTCATTCCACCTTTTCCCCCTGCTAACAACCTTCATCTTCTTCTCAAGTCCAATAGAAGGCTTCTTAGTCCTGTGCATCATACAATCAAAGATGTTCTTGCTCTGTTGCTTCTGCTTCCAAGATCTTTTTACCAGTGACATGGCTCCTCCAACAACTACAAGCAGATTGAGATGGATCATGGATCAGGTATGTAAAGTAGCTAGACAACTCCAAAATGATATGTAGCATAATAGTGATTTATTTTAATGTTCTTAGAAAGGAATTTAGAGTGCAAGTTATAATAATTTCTTGCCAAGGATTTCAATGCATGAAACGTAAATGTTTTTGGGAACCTACGGAGTACAATACATCTTGTGTAATTTGTGTGACAAGGAATCACCTTGAGAGCTACCACTTTAGAATTGTGTTCAATAGTCGTTTTTAGAAGTAAAATTTTAGAGTATTACTTCTAGTGCTGCTTTTTTATTTTGAATTGTTCTTTGAGTTCTGTTGATGCAAGATTTCATTTATAAATGTACATTTCCTTATAGTCATTGATTTATATAAGAGACATCTTTATACTCCGTCCACAGGCCCGCTCCTATTGATTCCGTGATGTCACGGGTGTGACGTCACGGAAATAATCTGCGACAAAAACTTTTGTCACGGAATTTTTACTCTATGCCATCTATGGTTCATGATGTGACAGTCCCTGTTTTTTGTAGTGAAACTGTGTGATTGGGGTTTATCCAGATGAACGATAATTAACAAAAACCAAAAAAAAAAAATTAAAGGTAAAGTGATAAAGTTTGTGAAACAATAAAAAAGTAAAAGTTACTAAAGTTGTAACAGATATAATATGTATTATAATGTATTATAAAAATACAGTTTAAACTAATTTGACTAATTGCATTAAGAGCCCATTTGGTCAATTTTTTTGGCTAAGCAGTCTTATAATCCAATTTTTAACCAAACACGTAAATTTTTATTTTCGCGTACTGAAATGTGTAATGAGCATAATAAGTAAGGTTGAAATTACTTACTTTTCTAATTGAATTAACTGAAGATGGTGTACATGATCATTTTAACTACCTCTATATAATTTTTTTATTTTATTAATAAAATATATTATAAATATAATTGTTTCATAGTTCAACAAATTCCGCCATTCCAAACAAATTTTAGTTAATTTCAACATAGTCAGTCAATTCATCCTATTTCAATTTTACCAATCTAGTTCTAAAAAACTTGATTAATTATTGCGGGTGTGTTTCTACATCATGCCTATGTGTAGAAATTTGAACCGCCTAAATTAAATAGTCCATTTAGAGTTAGTATCTTTGGAAACCCGAACTGTTTGCTAGAATTCAAGAGCACTCAACTCACTTTGAAACCCTGCTAATCTGCAACTTATTGCCTCCAACAATTTCATTTATGTCTAAAGATATAGTGGCGAAGAAAAATGAGACCATCCCACCCAAAAACAACTCGGAGCCTAAAGAGAAGAGAGTTCAGTCTACAAGAAGCCAATGCTGAATCTTGTCAATCCACTTCAAACCCACTCTTTTTTTGCTTGGAATTCGCCAAAGTGAAAGTATGAGTAGGAAGCAATGCATGAAATTCAATTCATCCATAACCAAAGATACCTTCTGATTGATAAACCATATATAGAGCGGACTACCCCGTAAATCACCCTACTTTCATTTATGTCTAAAGATAATCAGAGAGAGATATGTTGCATAGAAGCTGAGAGGATATGACAGTTTAGCATGCTCGTTTTAACTCATTGAGTGTCGAACATCAGCATCACTGTAGTGGATGATGATGAGGATATGATAAACAGGTGACAAAGTGAAAAACTCCCTTTTTATGAACCTGGTCTGCAACAGTTTATTCAACCATACCACGGAAATAAAATCACGTTCATATAAAATATAGAAGAAACTATTGGAATGGCAGAGGTAATCTTTTTAGCCATTGAGTTGAAAACTAAAGTGGAAGGTCCGGGAAAAGAGGGTTATTAGAATATAATAAGTGGGCGAAAATGGTTTGTCAAATTCGGGAACCTAAGTGCCTAAAATTGTGATAGACAAATCCGTTGTACAATTTGAAATGCGCACGATGTTGTCAAGTAATATCTATGCAGCTCAGCATATCATCTTTAGCAACCCTGAATTTTTTAGTGAGGGACTGCCTTTCAAAACCTTCTAAACCCGAATAGAGTTGTGTTTGGAATTAAAACCCCAGGCAGTCCTATAAAAGATATCATGCAGTTTTATGATTGGATTGAAGAGTGATCATGTTATGTGATGGATTGCTGAACTCGGAGAGACTGAAAAGTGATAAGTAAGATTGGGTAGTAAATTGGGCAGAGTAAAAACAAGTTCATACAGCAAAATTCAGATCTTTTTCAACAAGCTGGGAAGTGAAATTTATAGTAAGGGAGAAATACTTGAACAACAAGTAAAAAGATGTTACTTTATTGTGGTGAAGACACATACCCCACCTGCCTAACAGAATAAATGTACTAGTCTAATAACATGGTGACACATGTAAAGATGATTGGAGAGATATCTGACACAGCTGGCTAATTGGTATTGTGTGAGTGTGTAACAGATTTGTACCGGAACTCACATGTGTGCCAAACGTGTACGATCCGAAATATTATTTGTGATAACTATCAGGGTGGCGTTGCCCTCGTACAGTGGTAGTGACGTGGCTACAGCTTGCGCGATACTTGATTGTTGAAATGTCTAAGTCCATAACTAGCTAGTGACGCCACGAGCTTTGCAAGGTCAGAGCTCAGATGCAGTGAGCTTGTCAAAAGAGAATTCGATATTGGTCTTCTATTTGTCCGGTAATGATGGTTCCATTACTCCCGTTGACTTCGTACCCGTGATCGAGGTCAGATTTGGTGCCGACCTCGACGGGTGTTGAGCTCGGATTCGATCTTGTCTTGATAATCTGGGGGGTCAATGTTGGCACGACCTCGGGTGGGTCGAGGTCGGCCTCGGCGGAATATTAACTTGGTGTTCTGGAGCCTCTCTTTGTTCGTGAAAGTTGATACCCTTGGGATGTATGAGAATATACTCCATCATTATGATTATTAATCACTGCAGTGGGGTGGAGGTGGAGAAATTTGCTAGCAACATATTCCTTGGATTGAACGGGATTATCAACAATATTATAGCTTCTATTAGTCAAAAAGTTGGTGTAGATGTGCTTGGTGTAACCAATGTTGTTCAAGGGGACAGGAGATTGCACCGAATACCAAAGTCTCATGGTGTTATAGGCGGACCCTCATTGCAGAGGGACATACAGTTTGCTGCGTATTTGTGTGAGGAGTAGAACCTCAAAGAACCGTCTCACTTTTTTATGCTTTCTATAAAAATTAACAAGAAGATAAAAGAGGATTTTGTATAAAAAAAATGTTTGAGATGATGGTTTTCCTAAAAGATATAGTCATTGTTGTTTTGAGATTCGCTTTCAAAGAAAATACGAATGACATGCCGGACTCCGCTGCACTATATGTTTGCATGCTTCTCTTCTAGGTTTGTGAATTCCGGCGAACTACAAGTTATAAGTGTTAACCAATTAAGTCCGATTTTTTCGTGCTGCATTGTTGACAACAACATGAATAATATGAACAATCCAAAGTTCTTTTTTAAATTAATCATGAGAGAGCCACGTGGCAGCTTAAGTAAAAAAAACTTTGGATTGATCATATTATCAATGATGTTGGCAACAATGTGTGACACGAAAAAATTGGACATAATTGGCACACATATGGCATCATCTCCATTCCAAGTTGTGGCCATTTGGTTACAATTCATAACTTTAGTTTGCCGGATTCACAAACCTAGAAGAGAAACATGTCTCTATAACCCCAACATGGACCCAAGAGTTAACAACCCGAACCAATGCCTTTTCTTTTAATAGCAAATCCCAAACATCTATTCTAATGGAGTTTGAAATGTCATTCGTATTTTCTTTGAAAGCGAATCCCAAAACAACAATGACTTTTATCTTTTAGGAAAACCATCATCTCAAGCATTGTTTTTTTTTTCAAAAACTTCTTTTATCTTCTTGTTAATTTTTATAGAAAGCTTAAGCAACTGAAACGGTTCTTTGACGTTATGCTCCTCACACAGATACGCAACAAATTGTATGTCCCTCTGCAATGAGTCTACGCCTATAACACCATGAGGCTTTGGCATTCTGTGCCAACTCCTATCACCTTGCACAACATTGATTACATCAAACACATATACACCAACTTTTTTACTAAAAGAAGTTATAATATTGTTGATAATCATCCCGTTGAGGTCCAAGGAATATGTCGCTACTTGCTAGCAAATTTCCCCACCTCCGCCCCACTGCAATGATTAATAATCCTAATGTGATTACTCTCAACCCAATCATAAAACTGCATGATATTTTTTATAGGACCGCCTGGGGTTTTAATTCTCAGTACAACTCTATCCGGATTTAAAAGGTTTTGAAAGGCGGTCCTCCTACTAAAAAATCAGGGTTGCTAAAGATGTCATGTTGGGTTGCATATATATTACTATACACCATCTTGCGAATATGGTTGAACATTTCAAATTGCACAACGAATTTGTCTATCACACTTTTAGGCACTTGGCATGATCCCTAATTTGCAAAACCATTTTCGCCCACTTATTATATTCTAATAATCCTCCTTCCCCCAGATCTTCCTATTTAGTTTTCAACCCAATGGCTAAAAAGTTGACCTATGTCATTCCAATAGCTTCTTCTATATTGTATCTGCACATGACTTTATTTCCACGATATGGCTGAATAAACTGCTGCAGATCAGGTTCATAGAAAGGGAGTTCTTTACTTTGTCACCTGTTTATCGGATTCTCATCGTCATCTACTACGGTGATGCTAACGTTCAACACTCTATGGACTAAAACGACCATGTTAAACATTCCTATCCTCTCAGCTTCTATGCAACATATCTCTCTCGGATTAGCTTGAGAGATAAACAAAATTGTTAGAGGGAAAAAGCTGCGGATTAGCAGGGCTTCAAAGTGAGATAGTTGGGTGTTCTTGAATTCAAGAAACAGTCTGGGTTTCCAAAGATACTAACACTAAATTGACTAATTAATTTAGGCGGCTCAAATATTCATATTTCCTTCCATTGTGGATATCTTATTCCGACACATATGCATGGTGTAGAAACACACCCGCAATAATTAGTTATGTTTTTTAGACCTATATTGGTAAAATTGAAATAGGATGAATTGACTGATATGTTGAAATTAATTAAAATTTGTTTGAAGCGGTGAAATTATTCGAACTATGAAACAATTATATTTATATTATATTTTATTAATAAAATAAAATAAAAATTATATAAAAGTAGTTAAAATGACCATTCAATTTTACCAAATCAACTAGAAAATAAGTAATTTCAACTTTACTTATTCTGCTCACTACACATTGCAGTGCGCGAAATAAAAATTTACGTGTTTGGTTAAAAATGGATAATAACACTCTTAGGCAAAAAATATCACAAATTGGGATCTTAATGTAATTAGTCAAATTAGTTTAAACTTCATTTTTATAATACATACTACCTTTGTTACAACTTTGGTAAATGGTCATTTTTTCTTGTTTCACTAACTTTATCACTTTTCCTTTTAGATATTTTTTTTATTAATTATCGCTCATCTGCATAAACCCCAATCACACAGATTCTACTATCTTATTCCACGTTTCAATAAAATTTGGCAAAATTATAAGGCTATGTTTGCATAAGCTTAAAAAAGACTTTCTTTGGCTTTTAGCTTTTGGAAAGCTAAAACTAATGTTTTTTAAATGGGAACTTTTACTTTGAGTTAAACAACTTCAAGTCAAAAGTGGAAAGAGGTGTTTTCAGTTGCTTCTTGGTAAAAAAAAAAGACATGTACCTACCTCATCACTCGGGGCTTCTGGACATAATTGTCCACGGCAGGGCCACCTGGTGGGTTGTCGGATGTCACGTAGAAATAACCGTCGATTTGTGAAATTGAAACTCAGCCTCACGTAGAGCACGTTATCCTCGGAAAGATTTGGTTGAGCGCATTGGTGCTTTCCCGGGCGCCACAGGCCGTGATTGGTCACTTCGCGCCTAGCGGCATAGACGGTACTAGGGTTCGATCGTCAACCGAGCACTTGGTGCCGTGCGGGATCGTGTGCAACCCCTAATTTAAAATATGTCACCGGGAAAATGCCCTTCGGAGACGCTCCGATCACTTACTAAAGTCAAACGGGAGTGGGCCGATGGGCCCACAAAATTCAGTCATTTAATTAAAATGACGGTGGGTCTATCACTTGAGTTTGGCTCGACATTATGTAATTCGGTACATTTTAACACCTAATAAATAAGGGGGAAATAATTAAAATAGCTCAAACTTTGAATGGGTGTGAGATAAACACTCCAAACTTGCATATGTAATTGAAATACCTCAAACTTCATAAAAACGTTATTTAAGCACCATGGTCATGTATTGTTTTTTTCAAAAATGTAAATTTATGTTGTTAATTGCATAATTTAAAATAGAGAATTAAAAGCATTGTACCTATATAGATTGAGGATAATATTGTTTATTTTACAATGGAAGTTAAAAATGTTAATTGTGTCTTCATGAACGCTAAAACATTTTAAAATATGCAATTAACACCATAAATTTATATTTTTGAAAAAGATAATATTTGACTATGATGCTAAAATAATTTTTTATATAAAGTTTGGAGTACCTATATTACATATGCAAGTTTGGGTGTTTAATTCACACACCTTCAAAGATTTGGGTGTTTTAATTATTATTTTCCCAATAAATAATGGGGACAACAAATAATAGCAATAATTTAATTGTACCAATTTAGAAGTATGGGTACTTAGCTCTTGGAGACAAGAACATGGAAAGCTGGTTGACTGCCCAAATAAGAGGATTGATGGCCTCATCTCAGAACCAAAGAATCGGATATGGAGTATCTCTTGGAGAGTCAGATAAAACACCGGCTCACTGACCAAGGCCAAACTGCATGCGCCGGCTACTTACCGACGGAGGTACGAACATTTGCAGCGGAGCAAGGATTGCCACAGGGTCTGGTTTCGGTGAGAGATCTGCTGAGCTTCGAATGTACTTTTCCTGAGCTCCAAACCACCATTAATGGCGGAAACCAAGGATATCCCCGCTAGGAAATCTTTCGAGTCGGAGTGACCACCGGTTGGCAGCTGGAGACGAACGGCCGTGCTGAGTTTCAGCCGGATGAACCCTTCGATGTTGTTGCTGCTTGCGTCGTGGGCTAAGCTCTGGAACAGCTATTAATGGCGGAAGCTCACTGGGCTCTTGGTCGAGCTGCGACGGAAGCAGAAAAAGGGCCGGCGACGGCGGCGAGGCGGATGGACCCACTGCTACGACGTCTGCCGGTGCGGCGACGCGGCTGGGGTGGGTGAGTAGTCGGTGACGAAATCAGAGAGGGGCGGATCTATAGCTGCCCCAATAAAAGCCAATAATCTCTTCTAATCCATTGGTGAATATTCCCCAATAAAAAAAGATGCCCCTTACCTAGACCAAATCGCGCAGTCAGCCCAAAAAGTGAAATAACCCAACATTTTCAAACACTCAAAACATTTTTATAGCCCATGTACTATAGAAATCTTATACTCACATTTATACTCACTCATGTTTGTTCAGAGTTTTTTTGTCTATGAGTTCTATTCACAGACAATATTTTGTTTGTACAAAATTTACACAAACAAAATAACGGCCAAATTACCAAATTGTTAAAATAAAGGTCATTGGACAGATTGGTAAAAAAAATATTTGAGACAAATTGGTAAAAAAAAAGACCTAGTGACAAATTGGTCAATTTTTTGTGAGTGATAAACATTCGATCTTCAACTTTAGAATTCCAGACATTTCATATTCTAAGAATTGTGAAGTTGACATTTGCAATCATTTTACTTTGACTTTTTCATCAAAAGTGTAGGTCAAAAAATGTCAATGCGCGTGTTTGATAATATTAGTTGTCTGCTAGCTCATAACCGGTTGAATCAACAAATTGATATCAACGGATTAGTCAACTTTTTTAACTAACTGCTTTCATTAGCGGTTTGAAATAAAATGTTAGTAACTTGAAATTTACAATCAGTTTTTCAAGCGTAAAATGACCATTAAAAGTTTATATATTTAAATTAATTTTATTTCTTTTTATTTTTAATAAGTTTGGAAAAAGTTTTAAAAGTGATGTTTACGTTTATTTTAAATGATTACTAATCGTATCATTTTTAAGTTATGTACATTAATGCAAGCAAACACATATAAATTCCTACAGTATATTTTTAGTAATACTATTTTTAATATGACTATCTATTAGTTTTTTTAAGTTTACTCCATTTAAACTTAGAATGTACAACTTAATAGAATTAAATGTCGTTGGGGATGTGTATGTATTGTTGTGACCCAAGACTATTAACAAATACCAGGAATGAAGGGATCAAAGAAAGTCAGCCATTAATGGTCTACACAAGTGTTCAATACAATATAGAGAAATAGAATATGTATTAACAACTCTCGGCCAGCCGTCAGCTCCAGCGGGGAATCCAGCACACCTGGTTTTGGAGTAATATTAGTAGCTGAAATGAGTAGGAAGGAGGATCGGAGATGAGCAAGAGGAATTACCTCAAGACACATCCAACTGCCTTTTCCTTTCTCCTCTCCTGCTATAAGAATGATGTTCGAAGGTGCTAGAGTCCGGCCTAGCTGCAGTAGACTTACCAACTGTAAAAATAACAACTATTTAACTTATGGTAAAAACAGTTGTATGAATAATAGGCAATGCCCCAAGGCTAACTATGTATATGTGTAAAACTATATTTAGTTAGGGTAAACTGGTTGGTGGTCATAACATTGCCTCCCCCTGAAACTTGACTTGTCCTCAAGGCAAGACAAATTCTGGAAACTGCAACCTCATCACATTAGCCCTCTCCCAGGTAGCATCCTCTGGTGACAAATTACTCCAATGGATCAAGACTTCCTTCTCCAATCTTTGGCGTACCTTGACAGTCCTAGTATCCAAGATGGCAACGGGATAAACCTTTGGACATCCATTTTGATCCGCTTCCGGGAGACTAGGATTAACACTGTATTTGTTTTTTATTTTTCCCTTAAGTAGAGAGACATGGAAAACATCATGCATTTTCGAATTCAGAGGTAATTGTAGTTGATACGCTACATTCCCGATCTTCTTGATAACCTGATACGGACCAAAATATTTGACAGACAACTTAGTTGGTCTTCTTAATAGTGTGTTACCGTGTTTGAAGGGCTGCATTTTTAGGAAGACCCAATCTCCAACTTGGAAGGACCTCTCTGTTCTGTTCAAATCAGCGTATTTCTTCATCCTTTCTTGAGCCTGAGACATGTGTTCCCGGAGAGTCTGTAGCACTTGTAACCTCTCCTGCACCACTTGATGGGCAACCGAATCAGATGACTGCAAATATGGGCCAATGGATAACTGTGGAGCCTCATACCCATAAAGTGCCTTAAAGGGAGTCTCCTTAATAGAATTGTGATGACAAGTGTTGTACCACCACTCGGCTAAAGGCAACCATTGATTCCACTTTTTTGGGTGATGGTGAATCATGCATCTTAAATACGTTTCTAAACACCTGTTAAGCCTCTCGGTTTGACCATCACTTTGGGGGTGATGAGCTGTACTCATACATAGTTTAGTCCCCTGCAACCTGAAAAACTCTTTCCAGAATGAACTTTGGAATGCCACATCACGATCACTAACTATAGATTCCGGAGTTCCATGGAGTTTATAGACTTGTTTCACATAGATATCTGCCAGCTTTTCAGCTGTATAAGGATGGGCTAATGAAATGAAGTGAGCATATTTTGTAAGTCTATCCACAATTACCCAAATTACATCCTTGCCCTCGGATTTCGGAAGCCCTGTAATAAAGTCCATCGATATTTGAGTCCACGGAGCTGTAGGAATTTCCAAGGGCTGCAATAGTCCAGGATAAGCCACTGCTTCATCCTTACATTGTTTACATACATCACATCCAGATACGTATTCGATGAAATCTCCTTTCATGCCTTGCCAATAAAAAATTGCTTTTCCCCTCATATAGCTGGAATGAATTCCAGAATGCCCCCCCACGGCTGAAGCGTGAATAGCCTGCATGATCTTGGTCCTTATGTTATTCGATATTCCCACAACTATTCGTCCTTGGCGTTTGAGGATGCCCCCAGTATATGTATATAGATTATCTTCCTTTGATAACAAGGATTGAGCTATTAATTCAGAGATTTTCTTGTCGTTCTCGTAACTAGAAATGATTTCTTCCACCCATGACGGCCGAATATGAGTGATGAGAGAACATGTGACCGTTTTGGCACCTTCACTTTCACTGGTTCCTGGCTCAAACTGTCTTGACAGCACATCTGCGACCACATTAGCCCTGCCAGGCTTGTATTCGATAGTAAAATTGTATCCCATTAGTTTATATAGCCATTTTTGTTGTAGAGCGTTGACGATCTTTTGCTCCTTCAGATATTTGAGGCTTAAGTGATCAGTCCGAATAATGAAAGATGACCCGATTAAATAGCCAGACCACTTTCCCACAGCTGTCATAATAGCCATCAATTCCTTCTCATAGGTAGACCTAGCTTGATTTCTTGGGCACAAAGCCTGACTGAAGAAAGCAATTGGTCTCTGATTTTGTAATAACACAGCTCCTATACCTGTCATGCTAGCATCGGTTTCCAACACAAAAGGCTCCTTGAAATTAGGTAGAGCTAGCACCGGAGCCTCTGTCATCTTTTTCTTAAGAACCTCAAATGCTAATTGAGCAGCTTCATTCCACCTGTATTGGCCCTTCTTAGTCAACTCTGTGAGAGGTCTAACTATGGTACCATAATCTTTAATGAATCTCCTGTAATATCCTGTGAGTCCCAAGAATGCCCTGAGGGTCTTAAGAGAAGTCGGTTGTGGCCATTCTATCATTGTCTTGACCTTTTCAGAATCTGTTGACACTCCTTCCTTACTAATGGTGTAGCCCAAGTAATCAATGTGGTCAAGCCCAAAAATACATTTTGATCTCTTTGCAAATAACTGATGTTCCCTCAGCACCTGCAACACTATCTTCACATGTTCCCAATGTACTTCCCTGCTCTTGCTGTAAATCAGGATATCATCGAAAAATACCAGCACAAATTTTCTAATATACTTGGCAAATATAGTATTCATCATCTTTTGGAACGTAGCCGGAGCATTTGTTAGGCCAGAGGACATGACCTTAAACTCGTACTGTCCATGATGAGTCACGAAGGCAGATTTAGGCTGGTCTTCCTGCCTCAGTCTGATCTGAAAGTAGCCCTGCCTCAAATCAAGCTTAGAAAATATGACAGCCCCATGAAGTTCTGATAAAAGATCCTCAATCACCGGCATCGGAAACTTGTCCTTCACAGTTATCTCATTTAATTTCCTGTAGTCTACACACATATGCCAACTGTTGTCCTTTTTTTTTATTAACAATACTGGGGCAGCGAATGGACTGGTGCTTGGTTCTATAATTCCTTGCTCCAACATTTCATCCACTAATCGCTCCACTTCATTTTTCAAGACATGGGAATATCTGTACGGTTTCAGTGAAGTCGGTTTGGTATTACTTTTAAGTTCTATCTTATGTTCAATGTCCCTGATTGGCGGCAGCCCCTTGGGTTCTCTGAACACATCCCCAAATTCGTCTAATAACTTACTAATATCCTCACTTGCAGTAGCCTCCTCCTGCCTGGCCTCCATATAAAAAAGCTGAGTCAAGAATCCGTGTGTAGTCTTTTGAATCATCTTTTTAAAGTTTTTTCCATTCATCATTCTTAGCGTGGCCTCTCCAGAATCAGCACCAAGTTGTATTTTCCTCCCTTCTTTCGTGATATCCAAACAATTCTTTTTAAGGTGAAATGTTACCGGATCATGTCTCCACATCCAATCATGCCCTAGAATCACATCACACCCCCCTAACGGGATGAGTCATAAATCTGCTTCCAGTTTGTGACCTTGTGTAGTCCAAGAAAATCTGCTACACCGCTCTCTACTGATAGTTCTATCTCCGTTAGCTACTGTAATCACCCAAGGAGGAGTAGACTCAAGATTGCTATGGAGTTCCTGAGCTGTCACTTCGTTCAGGTAGCTGTGAGTGCTCCCACTGTCAATCAATATGGTGATCTTCCGTTTGTTAACCGTCCCTGTTATTTTCATGGAATTACTAGCTCTACAACCCTGGAGAGCATGCAAACTAATCTCACTGTCAGCTGGAACATCTGGGTCTAGCTTCTCCTCCCCTTCATCATCTTCCAGAAGTATCTCGTCTTCACCCTCACTCAAAACGATCTGGAACAGATTTGAACATTTGTGTCCCGGTGTATATTTCTCATTGCAAGTAAAACACAACCCTTTTTCCTTCCTAGCATTATATTCTTCCTTGGTTAATTTCTTCACAGATGGCCTGCTATTTTCTCTTCCCATGTTTAAGCTATTCTTCCAATTCTCAGGGCCATTAACTCTGCTC